GGACCAGGCATTTGGGGCCCCGAGGAGACAGAATCAGTTGTAAAAGTAGAAAATACTTTATAGAGGAAACGTAATCCATCGCTGTTGTTTACTACTTATACCCTAGACATGTAACTGGTAATAGGGAGTATGCGGTGCTTCCATTTTGGAAAGCAGACGTCAGCAGTAGGGCTCCTCCTACCCAAACGAGTGAGAAAGCGTGGACGCCGAGAACCAATAAGGTCACAGCTGAGTGAATCCGAGAACAATACAAGGCTTAGTGACAAGGAAGGAGATGAAAACAGAACAGACTCTGCAGCAAAGTAGCCTTAGGTTGGACTTACGAATCATTGAGCTAGTGCTATCGGGCTCCCTAAATCCTGCTAGAATGGGAAACCGACTGGCCTAGGGGTCTGAGCAAGGCTGGGCCAAAGGTAGAGTCAATGGCTTCACCTAGAAGATTTAAAAACTTACTGTGACAGAAGGAGATTACAACTTTAGAGCCCGGATGTCTTTCTAGAACAGCTACCAAAATCCTGTTTCCCTTGGACAGATTCACTTGATCCCCAATATGAAGAAGGGGTCATTCTTCATTTTACAGGGGGGTATCAGTTATCTGTTGTCAAAATAATGCTGCATAAAAAACACCCATGCAACCTTGGGGGCATTCCATGGTAAACATTTATCATTTGTTTTTGAGGTCCACTAGACAGCTCAGTTGGTCTTGGCTGGACTCATTGTGGTCACTCAGACTCACTCTGTTGGTCACTGGCTGACTGTCACCTGGTCAGTCACAAAGGCTGAGCTTGGCCAGGAGGACTGGGGTGAGTATCTCTGCTCCATGGAGGGTTTCTTGAGGTCCAGGCTCAAAATTGTCACATTGTCACTTCTGCAACACTCTGTTGGCCAAGGCAAACCACCTGGTTGGATCCATTTCCAAATGGTGAAGAAATAGACTCCCCCTGTTTAGTGAGAGAAAGTGAGAAGTTATTGGCCAAAAATGTAGTGATGAGAGGTAAAGAATTGGGGCCATGAATGAATTACATTATCAGGAGTAATATCCCCAATCTTCACTTGGCAATTCTGACTCCCAATTGTTAAAGACCCACCAGAGCTTCCAATCTACAACTAGAGACCATGGTTAATGTGCAAATATTGAGTGTGGCCATCAAGAACGCAGAGCTGGGTTGAACTGGGGGTAACTATGAAATAGACATTGCAGGAGAAACATTCTGTTAAGTGTGGGGTTCTCATGTGTCCCTCAACCCATCCAGGGAACGATAGGAAAAAGGTAGTGTTTCTCCATAGCCCATACCCAATGAGTGATGTTTGCAATCTGAGAAGCACAATTATGTGCATCTCATTTCACCTTTCCGATTCCATGGGGTCGCCCAGGGCGCTGAGAGTGATCTACATTTCCTCCTGAGGCCGGGAGAGAGGAAGGCAATGCCCAGTCCACTGTGCAGAAATGGTGGTGCCCAAACGGGACCTGATTCTCCCAGCTCCTCACCCTGGGGTTCCTTCTGCCCTCTGAGCTGCCTCCCTCAGGCTGCACCCTCCGGTCCTGAAGCACCCTGGGCCACTCTATTCCAAGGGCAGGAAGCAGCTGTCCACGGCTTCCAGCTCAGCCATTTACTTCCAGAAAGTGCTGCCTTCCTTTTCTCTGCCGGTTTGCGCAGCAGATCCTCATGCAGCAAGGCCAATGCTAGATAACTGCTGAGTTAACTGCTTTAGGAGTTAAACGAACATACAGTTAAAGACCTCGCTTGTCTCCAGGAGGCACTTCTTTTGTTTCTACTTGCTTTTCTGCCAGCTCTTTGGGCAGCAGTTATGATCTCTCCGGTGCATGCTCAAGAGATGCTAGTGACACTCCAAAGGAGTGAAAAGCAAGAGTGCGCCCGTCGCTGGTTAATAGAACGATGCACGGAGAAGCTGTGGTCTGGCCACAGCTACGAAACCACTCACACCCCTGGGGAAGAGTGCGGAGACCCAAGAATGAGAACATCTGGGAATCTCGGGGCAGCCAAATAAAAATGTCATCACGCTGTATCGATGGCCTACAAAAAGGGCAGGGCGAGGAAGTCCGGATGAGAGAATTGCTAGGGAAGGTGGCAGCAGAGGCAGCCGGCTGTTGCCACCCACAGACGTGTCTCCCGGATATGGACACAGTCCCTGCGAGTAAACAGATTTAGCGCCGGAACATTTGTGTTCTATTCATATGGTAATTACTAAGTAGGAAAAGAACTATGCTCCTTGAAGAAGAAATGTCTGGGCTCGGCCATCACACATTCATATGTATTTCCATTTAAACCTCCTGGATTTTCAGTGCTTGTGGTTGATGGCACCATTCTCACTCCAGCTGGTCTACCCAGGATGGAAATGTAAACTCCCTCTGGGAACTGTAAACATTTTCTGTCAAACTATGTGACTCGGGGCACATCAGCGAAAACAGCACTCAGAGCCGTAGAGAGGACAAAGCCCTAGGGACATAGCGACAGTGGTAGTTACAAAAAGGAGCCAGTGTTTCCCCAAGATGACTCGGTAGAAGTGGAAGCCCAGTCTCCATGCAAACCAAGAAGGGCTTATTGCAGAGCAGCGCTATTCCACAGAACTTTCTGCGGTGATTGGAGGTATTCTACGCCTGCAAGTGCTCAGCATAGCAGCTATTAGCCACATGTGGCCATCGAGCGCTTTAAAGGCGGCTAGTGCAGCTGGGAAACTAAATTATGAACCCTTTTCAAGTTTCACTTATTTGAATTTAAATGGCCATGTGTGGAGAGTGGCTCCCATGTTGGACAGTGTAGCTCCAGAGTCTTGCTTTCTCTACTAAGTTGTACTTTGTTCCGTACATTCAAGGTTTTCTCATGTCCACATAAGCTACTTGGTGTGTTGGCTGTGTTCCTCTCCCTCTGTGGGAGGGGCTCAGGTGATGCAGTCTGTATGGAATGATCCCTTTGGGGGCAGCCAGCCTGAGGAGATAAACCTCAGCATGGGAAAATTTGGGAGGAAGCATGCGGGTGCCTTGAAGGCCAAGGTGGTCGCACTCCCGGGGCAGAGGGAAAAGAGCAGCTGAAAGAAATATTTCTAGATTTTTGGAGTCTCTCTTCATTGGAATGTGTCCTTCACAGACAGAAATAAAAGTGTTGGCCTTTTGAGTAAGGAGTGAGGAGGCGTTCATAAGTGCGTTATCCCTACAGCCAGAAGAAGGGGTAAGGACAGATGAAGGGCAAGGGCAAGGGCAATGAGAGGAGCTGAGCAAGGCCTTTCAAAACAGGACGGGTCAGAAACACTGTTCTCTCCCATGACTTTCTCCTCTGAAAGAAGTGACCCCCCAGCTTCAAGAGGATTCTTGTGCAATTATGCATAATGTGCTTTTGATTAAGTATCAAAACAAAGGAATGGAATTTCGGAAAAACTTGGCCACTGCCTGAGGTGAATTCTACCGTTCGTGGGCCTGTGTCTCCAATGAGGACATGACCAGAAGCCCTTATGTGAAGTCCCTGTTGGTTGGATGGGGGGGCTGTGGAGACAATTCCTGTCACTCAGTAAATATCCCATGAAGGGACACACGTAGGAATGGGAGATGAGAAGAAACTGACGCATGGAGTAAAATAATGACTCTCAGGTGGGCGCCCCATGTGGTGATGGTTCCACAGTATCATCCAAAGGAGTCTAATTAGTACCTGCTGCGGATGCATCTGTGTGACAGCTGGTGATGGGGGTGGGGGTTGTGGTATGAAACCTATGGCCACAGCTGTGGGGAACAGGGCTGGAGAAAGACACAGGGATGGAAATGGTATCTCTTGGATCCTTATTCATTCTTTCGGAACAGCGCTGATTTCAACACGGTCTCAAGGAGCACCCCAAATCCATCCCCTACCAATCTCCACCCAGCCACAAACTTCCTTAAACAGTTTAGTCTCATGTTTAAACAAGTCGACATTTTATTTCTGCACAACTTCCTGAGTTTAGTATATGCTTGAGCTCTCCTTCTAAGTTTGTGAGAGGGAAGAGGAGTTGGCGACATTGGTTGTCCATTTAGAAAAGAGAGAAAAGTTTTGGATTCCTACCTTATCTCACTGCAAGAGTTTAGCCAACTGCAGAGAGGGGGAGTAGCCTACCTCAGATCACCCTCACTTCTGACAGCAATGGGGGGCGTGGGTGGCTCCGCCATTAATCCTCACTTTCCATCATTTGCAGGACTCAGACTCATTGAGAGCTATTATACCTATGGTGACAGTGAGTTCCAAGGGAAGGAAACAGATGAAAATCGGCCAAGAGAAAAGCACATAGGTGAAATCTGGGGGTGTAACAAATGCAGAATATTCATTCTTCTCTCCTCTGGGAGTCAGGATGCATTACTTTCTGGTATCCATGTGTGACAATATGCACAGATTATTGCCAATCAGGGAAGCTCACTCAAACCTTGATGTTAGAGTTTTTATTGGGGCTTCATAACATAGACATGATTAATTGATTGATTGATTGCCCATGTAGCTAATTTCGGTCTCCAGGTCATCTGATACCACATGACCCCAGAGCCCTCAACCTAAATCATATTATTTGTTCTTCTGGCATGGCCAGCGCTTGCTCTAAGATTATCCAGCCTCTATCATAAATCATACAGTTAGACTATCCATTCTGACATCAGGCTCCCAGGCAAAACAAGACACCGCTATCAAGCATGACATTTCAAGGACTTGAGGATTACTTCCCAGGATCTGAGATTAAAAGCCGGACCTCTTGGGAGGCAAGGTTAAATTCTTTACTACACATGTACACATAACAATAAATTGCAGGTGGCTTGTAGATCTAAATAAAAAACAAGTTAAAGAACCAGAATAAAATATAGGTGAAAGTTTTGTAATCCTGGAGTATAGAGTTTCCATCTAAACATAAAACTTCTGAACTAAAGACACCACAAACAAATTGAAAGATAACCAACTGAACTAGAGAGTACATCCACGCCATATTTAACAGTTGACAAATCAATATAAAAAGACAAATAGTACATTGGAAAAATGGACATAATCCACAAGGAACAGAAAAAGTAAGTGTATCCTACAGGTGACTATGTAGATTTGTATAAACTGTTTGGGGGGGACTGTTTATTTAGAGTCATTAAAGTAAAATTTTTATTTTGAGAGAGAAAGAGAGTACAAGTGAGGGGGGGCAGAGAGAGAGAGAGAGAGAGAATCCCAAGCAGGGTCCCTGCTATCAGTGCAGAGACCCACGAAGGGCTTGATCTCACAAATGGTGAGATCATGACCTGAGCTGAAATAAACAAGAGTTGGATGCTTAACTGACTGAGCCACCCAGGAGCCCCCAAAATGTAAAATTTTAAATGAGACTTTACCTTTGGAAATACAGTTTACAGAAATTGCACACAAACTCAGAAACATGTGTTTGTACATACACACACACACACACACACACACACAGACATATATATCTACATATTTGCAATAAAAAGATGGGAAAATCTCATTCTCTAACCCATATAAACAAATATCTAGTCAATACAACAATGGCATGGGAAGCATTCATTGAATAGGCAAGCTGCAAAAGAATACTTATAGCTTGATTCTGTTTTATATATATATAAAGCCTGTAAATATGTGTAATCTATAAATGTATAACAATGAATGCCCACATATCTATCATATATATACACAGGAAAAACAAAGACTTAGAAGTAGTCACCCCCAAAGGGAAACAGAGAGATAAATTTTTCTTTTCTTTTATATCATGTGATTGTATCTGAATTTGCTTCCGCAAGCACAGGTATACGTGTGAGTTTTGCAATTAAACACACATGCATGTGTACAACGGTCCTGTGCTTGTGCTGACCTGACTACACTGGCGCTTCTTCCCAGAATCCCCTGCTCTACGTGATTCTGGGTGAGAGTCGGCTGAAAGAGAAGTTTGCAGGAGATGTGGAAAAAAGAAATACATCAGCAGCCTTTATTCTCTGAAATCTGTGGTCAAATATAACAACCAAGACACACAAGGCGGGGGTAGGTTCTACGTTGTCCTAACTCTCCCCTACCCAGCATCCAGAATTTCTCCACCCGGGTCCTGCTGACCAACAGCGGTCCTGAGCCTTCCTCTGGGACCCCTCTGGATTCCCCCTTTGGCTACAATCTCAGAGGTGGTAGTTGTAAGACTCCCCACCTCCCCTTTGCAACCCCACTCCGGCAGGTGGGTGTGCCTGCTTGGCTTCCCCATGTCCCCAGCAAGCTCGACCTGTCCTACTGTCCCAGTGCTCAGCAGGGCTGGGGAAAGACATTTCTCTCATTTTCCAAGGCCCCTTCCTGGACCTTTACCTCCCAATCTCCTCCCATCTTTGTGTAGGTTTGATTCCCACATAAATCCCTTATTTCATAATATTCGTAGTGGTTCTGCTTTCCTGACAGGATGCTAAGAGTTACCACATATCCATGTACTAGATGTATATGTGTATGTGTACTTGTTACATAGAACGTGAAGCAAGCTTTCTGATGGGAAAGTTGAGTTTCGCTTTTCCCCTTGGAGTCTCTCAGGCTGTCAGCCCGCTGCCCCCAGCACTGGGATGCTCTCCTGTCACAGCCTGGCCCACTTGGGAACAAAAGTCCCCTCCCCCTAGCCCTCTCTTCATAGCTAAGAGAGCCGGAAACGTGAAAAAATGCTAAATCCTAAGGGAAATGAGTGAAATACTCAACTGAATCAAAACAAGAAAATTTCTGCAAACAGCTGGAATTCCATCAGAGCTTAACTTGATTTTAGGGATTCTTGGGTTCTGTCACACATCCTGGGTTTGGTGGAGGTCATCATGTAATCCCTTTCCTAGAAATTGCTCCTTCAACTTTTAGACCCATTGGAATCCCAATGGGGAAAAAAGTGAAGAAGAGGGAATAAATCTTTCAGCCTTGCCTGCCATGTGTTGAATATTGAACTTGCAGATATCATCTCACTTAACCCTCACGGCATCCTGTGAGGCAAATGTTATTCTCTGTGGTCTGAGAAGAGAACATTGTGGCTCAGAGATGTTAAGTGAATCTTCCAAAGTCGCGCTGGTCGGTAAACACAGGATTCAGTAGTTGAGCGCGGTTCTTAAACACGTGCTTACCCACATGATGGGCTCTTGGAGATAAACAGTCAGTCTCTCTGGCTGCCTTCTGAATTAGTTAGCCACTACTGCAGAAACATGCTCTAAGATCTCAGTGGCTCACAGCCACATCTGTTTCTCACTCCAGGTATGTGGGTTGGCCGTAAGTTGGCTGTGGGCTCAGCTGAGTTTAGATGGCCTCAGGCTTAGGTCTGGTCAAGGTCTTTTGTCTGTCTGGATTCTGAAAAGCCAAAGGAGCCCTGGATACTTAGGCCAAGTTCTTCTTACAGTGGATGGCAGATGCTACAGAGGACAAGTGGAAACTTGCCATGTTACTTAAAACATGAGCTCAGCACTGGCACACTGTCGCTGCCACCTCTATGCCATTGACTCATAGTCAATTGGTCTACAGTCAGGGAGGGGCAGCAGAAGTACTCCCCTTCCATAATGAGCAAGAAAGGGAGTGAAGATTTGCTGAACATTCCTCCCTAAAGTTCTGACTCCAGATTTCAATTTCTCTTCTGAGAGGGCGGAGGTCTTCCCCTCAAGCAGAATCTCATTCAAGCAACAGCAGTGTGGCTCAGTCCTCAGATAATCAAATATCAGAATAACAAAGTGACTGTCGCATTCATTATCTGCTATTGGGTAATAATTCACTGCGCAATTTAGTGACTTAAAGTAGCAACAATCATTTATTTTGCTCAGGAACCTGTAATTTGAATAGGGCTCATCTCTGCTTCATACAACATCAGCTGAAGTGGCTTAAAGGTTGGGATGACTCAACATCTGGAGGGCTATAATCATCTGAAGATTCATTTACCTCACGTACCTGACAGTTGACATTGTCTGTTGGCCAGGACCTCACCTGGTGATCAGAACAGCTATACATGTCGTCTCCACGGGGATTCTTGGCCTGGGTTTCAAGTATGAGTGTCCCAAGAGAACAGGCAGTAGTGCATAGAGTTTTTGTGATCTACCCTTGGAAGTGACATAGCTTCACTTCTGCTGTACTGGTTGGGTAGTCTTCCACTCTGGTTCAAGAGAAGAGAATGTGGACCCCCATCACTTAATACCCTTAATACATCACTTAACACATCACAGAAGTACATATGGGATGGGACATATTTAGAAGAGGTAATATGCTACAACCATGTAACAGCAGTTCAAGCCATCAGATTGGGAGAACATTATTCCTCCTCCAGGTATTAAGGAAGAAAGACCATAATATTATAGTAAGTTTTTCAGCTCTCCTTATGGAAACTGAAAACCTTTTATTCACACTTACCATAGGAGCATCTATACTCACACCACGTGGCCCTAACTGAGATAGTTGATTAGACCAGAGCTATATCCTTGACCCAAATAAGGTCTATCAGTGTCTTTGCCAAATAGACTCCCAACCAACATGTAAACTTGGGGGCTGTTAGCCGTCACCATTTTTCTATCCTGTCTCCTGCCAGAAAAACCCAGCTTGTCACTGGAGACAACAATCAGAAGTGGGTTGTGAGGCTGATCGAAAGACTTTCCAGCTCCCTACACCATTCCAGCTCCTGGACATGGCAGAGAGAGAGAGGGAGGGAGACACAAAATCCAAAGCAAGCTCCAGGCTCTGAACTGTCAGCACAGAGCCCAATGCGGGGCTCAAACTCACGAACTGTGAGATCATGACCTGAGCCCAAGATGGATACTTAACCGACTGAGCCACTCAGGTGCCCTGAGAAGTGCAGAATTCTAAAGCCAAATATCCTGCATCTTGAGGAGGGTGACATATTCACAGGGAAGGGAGAGGGTTCTACCCGGCCCTATGTGTGGCATTCAAATTAGAAGAGTGGGCACCGTGATAATGGCCTGGCTTTGGGGAATCATGGTCTTTGCTACATGGACTTGAGGACTATTTGTACAAACAAAAGAGCAATGACGTAGAGGGATGTGGAAAGATGAACTAGATGTTTATCTCCTTTAAGAAAAAATCCTACCCCTCCCTTTCCATCTGGTAGGAGGGGAGAGGCTATTAGAGAGAAGGCAAGAAGATAGAAGCTCAGAAGTCAGCTGTGGATCTCTAAGAAGACAGAGATGAAACCAGCTGGCCCGTGACTAAGACCTGTTAACCACCAACCTTATGCTGCTATGACTTTCTGCTATAGCAACTCACCTATTAAAGTGGGGGATAGTGGCTGAAATCTTAGAGGAACCAACCCCACATACCCACACCCCAACACAGGTACAAGACATAACGTGCTCTGGGACAGAGGACTAAATAGATTTGGTGGGTGAAGGCCTAGATTCAGTATATTCACCTGCCTGCGAATGGCCCCACAGTACCGCCTCCCACAGCCTTCAAATCATCCACACCAAGATGACATTCTAGCAATATCTATCCCGCTAGATTCTGTTCTAAGGGGCCTGCACAAGAAGGCTCTGGGTACACTTGGAGGCACATCAGAGTAGAACAACAGGGTCTTGGACTCAGGACTTTGGACGGGATTAGAAATGTAGGGAGAAAAGTCACAGGGCTTTCTCACTGGGAATTTTTGGAGAATTCTATGCCCAACTCCTCATAGCTGTTCAGGGGCAGTGTGCAGAGAGAGGATTAGTGTTGGGGAAGCCCATGTGCCAGGCACTCTGCTACACACTTCACATTTAATCCTTGGTTTAGCCCTTCCTAGTGGGTGTGATTCCCGGTAGACATTACTATTCCCGTTTTATGGATGAGGGAGTAAAGGGCAGAGGGATTCCTTAACTTTCTCCAGACCAGACATCTGATAAGTAGCAGAACTAACACACGATTTTGAAAAGGGATACCGCAGCAAACTCTTTAATATTTTCTGATTTGGGGAAAGCCATTGTCACAACACAGAGGAGAAAAACAAGTCAATCTTACATGTAAGCAGATGGTAGGGATGTGAATTAGACAGAGAGGGGATGCTGCCACCTGCAAACAGAGCTTCTGGAGAATTCTGCTCCAAGAGCAGCTTGTCAAGTGACTAGTGACCCAGCATAGTGGGTCACCACAAAACCAGGTGTCTCGGCAGCACATCAACCCTTCTGCAAACTGTTCTCTGATTCTGCACATGTTTGGAGGTAAAAGAGGGAAAGCCCCAGAGAACGTCCTGCATAAAAGATGAGGCTAAATCCAGCTCCTTTTCTCTAATGCCAAGATCTTTCAGAAGATGAGAAAAGGTCTTACAAAATCCTGATGCCCAGGCAACACCCCAGATCAATTAAATCAAAATCTTTAGGGTGAAACCTAGACATCAGTAGTTTAAAAAAAAATTTTTTTTAAACATTTATTTATCTTGGAGAGACAGAGAGAGACAGCGTATTCAGGGAAGGGGCAGAGAGAGAGGGAGACACAGAATCTGAAGCAGGCCCCAGGCTCTGAGTTGTCAGCCCAGAGTCCAACACGAGGCTCAGACCCACAAATGGTGAGATCATGACCTGAGCCAAAGTCAGACACTTACCAACTGAGCCACCCAGGTGCCCCTGGACATCAGTATTTCTTAAAACTCTCCAGGTGATTCCTGTTGCAGCCAAGAACCATGGCTCTAGTTGTAATTAATGCTGTAGGAGCCCAGAGAAGTCTTTGTCCAGCAAATGATGCAATGCATTCTTAGAAAACTTTACCTTTGCTCACCTTCCATTGTCCTTCATGTTTTTGCCTTTCCTTGGGTTTTTATGGTCAGGATGAAAAGGAATACCTTTGTGCCACTATATATATATAGTGACTAGTGACCCAGCTATATATATATAAATAATATATATATAAATAATATATATATAAATAATATATATAAATAATATATAAATAATATATATAAATAATATATATAAATAATATATATAAATAATATATATATAAATAATATATATATAAATAATATATATATAAATAATATATATATAAATAATATATATATATATATTTATAGCACTGATATAGCACCTGGTATGACATTCTGGACTTAATCTATACTTATTGGTCTATGCTTTGTTATCTCTGTTCTCCACTAGAGGGTAAGTTCCATGGATCAGCACCGCCATAGTGCGCAGCTCTGGGGGTACAATTCATGTATCACACGAAGTGAATAGTACTACCTGAAGTTGTACAGCACAG